AGTCCTGAATCGTTGTCAGCGGGCGGAAGCCGGCTCGGTGCGCGCTAGAATAATGAAAGCTAATTATGCGCTCGGCACGAAAAAGGGAGGGAATCGCGGCAAAAAGCGTCGATAATCGACATCCTGCCGCAGTCCGTCGGTCAACTACTCTACTCGACCGGCGTAAATTTAGTCCCGGCCCTCGCCCCGTCCGCCAACGGAACGCTATTCCTCGCGACCAGAAGTCCCCCTGAGCAAACAAGAAGATCGGCCGCAGGCCCCCGACCGGCGTGTAAAAACGAAATCCGTGGACGATGCTCTCCGACGATCACCGGTATGCGGCAGCCGCCCCGCACCCGCGATCCTGGAAGCGGAAAGGTGCTCGACTCGAAATCGGACCCGATACCTTCTCGATTCCGACGTTCTCGAACCTCCGCGACCCTCTTTAGTGGCGTTTGTGGAAGCATTCGCGAGAAAATTTCATCGGGTCTTGGGGAAGAGTACTGACACTGTAAACATTTCTGTTGGGCGAGGATAGGTACTCGGACGTCATTTTTTTGGGGGGGGGGGGGGGGTGGGTGGGTGGGAAGAGGTGATATGAATTCGAGAGGATATAGGAGGTCCTGCTTTCAAGAGACAAAATAGGGTCAATAATTTGCATAATCCCAATCGTAAGTCTTTCGACATATTCAAATTCGCCCCTAACAAGCACACCCGGTCACCTAGTTCGTCTAAAAATCGACTCCCCTTGACCTCGATAACTCGAACCGATTTTCCGCGAACGGCGTTGTAAAATCACGTTCGGTAGTCGGTCAGGAATCGGCAACAGGCGGAGGCCGTTCACAAACAAACTTCTCCCATAAACGCAGCCAGGCCCTTCCGCTCGATTCGATCGTGGAAAAAACCAGCTTCTCGGGGCTCGGCGAAACCGCCACGGTAATAACACGATAATAATTTATAACATAACAATCGAGGAGCCACCGTGCGGTGGTTGGGCAACAGGATCGTACGCTGGTCAAAGAGACGGTTCGGTGCTGGGTTTGCTGGCCAGCCTCGTAGGCTGAGGTGCACCGGAGCGTTGCGATCATTACGAGGGGGAGGGGGGAGGGGAGGAGGGGGTCCGAGAAGTGTACGTGTCCGTGGTAAAAGGTCCACCGGTGTCCGTCCAGCGAAAAAGGAATCCCAAAAGCCTGTCCACAGACGGACAGAGAAGGAAGGGAGAGAAGGACGAGGAGGGAGAAAAACAATGTTGCGCCCGGTACCGCGGGACATTCAGAAAATAAGAAGATACCGAGATGGGGGACCAAGGATGATGAGAAACAGACCGTCTTCCTCCCCGCCCTTCGTCGCGGGGCGGACGACCAGTTGCATCAACGAGAGCGAATTTAAAGCGATCGCAAGAGTTCCTCCACGGTCCCTTCGTAAATGGAGGTGTAAGGATAAACTGTAAATCATCCGGCTCGTTATCCGAGCCGACGCGATCATACTCGCTTCTATTATTTTCTTGCACTACTTCCAGCGTGCCGCGGCACGATATCATCCGTGCCCGGTCGTTTTATGCCCCGCCATTGTGTTGCCGTGATGGAGAGATGACGCGAGTCGATGTCGCGTCGGCGACGATTTTTGCGCAAGCGGAAGTCGCCGGAAACTTTCCACTGGAACCTCGGTAGCGGCGCACTTTGGAGGGAATAAGGTGTGTAGACCTCCGGAGATCGAGAACTCTTCGGGTTGAGTTGCCGAGGATACTACTGGTTAGACAATTGTATGGGGTTTCAGAAGACATTGGGAGACCACTTTATAGGAATATTATTTATTACGTGTCTGAAGAAAACATTGGCGAGGAATGCGGATAAAAGGTCTTAAAAGCAAGTCTTAAGTGAGGGTATTATTATTTGAGAAGGTTTACTTTTTACATCTTTCCCTTTTTTTTTTTTTTTTTGTTGAACTGGAAGTCTACACGTGGAGAATTGGCTGGACGAAAGGAGAGAAAAGATCGAGATATTAGAGAAAGAAAAGATGGAGCGGAGATCGTGGCAGAGGTTATCAGGGTGTTGGCGAGCGAAACGGAGAGGTTTCACCCCTGTTTCGGTCGAATAATCGTGTCGTCTTCGTCGAAAGCGGTTTGCTCGAGCTAATATCGAACCATCGCCCACATTCAAAGGGACGTCGGCGAAGGAATGGTATTGTTGTCCCCTTCGAGGCGATTCTTCTTCGACGCGTGTCACTTTTGACGTTGCTAATGAAAAGATTGCTGTATCAAGAAATACTCGCACACCCTGACGGAGTCTTCCTTATATTTTATACATCTCTGTCGCGATCTTTTATTTCAAAATTCGCCTTTTCTTTTAGAGCAAAGAAGTTACTTCCTGAATAGAGATTGTCTATCGCCTTTGTATGCTTCCTAAAAATCACACAAGTTCGATTACCTAATTTCCTGTATACGTCACCTCCGTCATGCTTTATTACGCCTCAAGTTCTTCGTTGTTCCGCGAATGCAAGTCCTCTCTATCGTTTCGCAATCAGCCAGAACAATTTGCGTCCGCGGAGCCACCGGGCTTACGATTTCTCGCCTGATACGTCCATCGGCGGGCATCTCAAGTTTTATTTTACACGAGGAAAAATAAGCTATCGTCAAAGGAAAAGCGATTTACTGTGCGGCAACGGGAAGGCTGATACGGCCGACAGCATGAAATTGAAATCGTTCTGTGTCGTTGCGCAGAGTGCAAAGAACGTTAACCCGGTATCGTTGGTTTCTTCAGGAAGAGGAGCGCGCGCGCGCGCGAGCGCTTCCACTCGATGGCATCTCTCTGTTGATTAAAGTCCTTCAGCGGCGTTGTCTCCAGGCTCGTTCGTGCATAGAGCAGGATATTACGTACCGGTACTGAATAATGATATCTCGACCGCAGTGATCATATAAACCGCAATGATTACAAGGATATCTGAATCGTATCGATGTCTCATATTGGTATGTCGCTCGTGTTGCTCTCTGGAGTGAGGCTTAATTGGAGCTGCATGCGCGGGGTTACTTAAACTTCTGGGTAGACCTCACTTCGAACTGGAAATCGTCTTACAAATTGTGTCTCTGAGTTATCGATTTTTCGGTGATCTTTTTTTTTTGCGATTGGATTTATATGATTTAACATTTAGAAATGTTAGAAGTCTATTTTCTCCAGACCTATATGTACATTTACAACGCGTCATCTTCTGTGCAATATCAATTACGAAATACCAAAGTCTTCTCAGCACCGAGCATAGAGAGAAAAACCGAAATCATCGAGGCATTTCCAAACGATTTCCTCGACGTTTGCGAGTGACCCTTTCTCCCCCAGCCTCGATAGCGAGAACCACCCCCGCGCACAGGAGTTCTCGATTCCTGGCTTTTCACTTCTATTCTCCTGGGAGCAATAATTGCTGCGGGCCGGAAAAATTCCGCGACGAAAGTTAAACAAAGCCTCGAATGAGGAATACAGAAAAAAAAAAAAAATGAGAACGAGGAGCATATCGGTGGCGAGGAGAGTCGGAGGAGAGGGACACAGAGAACACGAACAACAGAGAGTAGTGTCCCTGGTTCGACTGTAATAAGGGTGACCAATTTTCTCCACTGTCCCGCGCCTCCCTACGTTCGACTGTTTGAACAAGCCTCATAATTAATACGCGTATTCGCTTCTGGAAAACCCGCTCGAGGGTATCCGGCTGGTAGACATTTTTTAAATCCTCCGTCCGCGGATATTTGCTCTTCCACGACGTCCTCGTGGTTTCCGAACGCTTTTCGCGAGCTTTCTGTGTTTCGTGCTTCGTTTTTCTCGCCAACCCCGTTCACTTTGGATGGACATGTCTCTGCGACAGGGGATTCTACACTTTTTCACACGGAGGAGGTGGGAGGGTAGTATTACGTTTTTCGCGATTCTGAGATACTTGTCTTCTTGATAACTGTTTGAGTGATTTGTGGATTACAATTTAGAAAGGTTTTTCCATCTGATACGTTTCCCATTTTGTCATTCCTTATTTTATTTTTTCTTGTTTCTGTAAAAGAATATTTAACAGGATATTTCGAGAAGCATTTTGTCGTAATTGTTTTCTGGAATTTAAATTAATTCGCAAGATTAGTATTTGGGAATGTTTTAATAACATTCTATCGTCTCATAGTTCCGTACGTCGACACAAGTAGAAATGGTCAGTAATAGGCAGACGCTTTTCCAAGTGCTCCAAGAAACATTAAAAATCAATTTCCTCTACAACGAAAAGCCTCCCAAAACAAATGTCCATTCTACATTTTCTTCGTACATTTTCACCACGAATCACCCTCTAGCTTAACATTTGAAACATCATCCCCTCATTGGTACATTTTTCAGGCTTCTCGTTAAGATTGTAATCCTCGCGCAAATGTTGATCCGCGTCGGAATGAAAAATAGTGTCGAGCTCCAATTGTCACCGCTGAATATGGGGCTGGAAATTGTTCTAGGAAAATCCAGATTTTCCGTTCGACTGTGGTCTCCTGGTCGGTCAGATCGCGTACCTGGCTCGTTTCGCGGGAGATATCTGTCTTTAAGAGCATTATCTGGATGGCGGGCGGGTAGGGAGACGGCAAAAACCGTCCGCCCTCTCGGTGGTATGTGAAAAATGATGCACAACCCCAATCCCCCCGACACATCTCCACCCCCTCGGGCCGGAATGTCCCGAAGGAAGCGTTCCTCCTCGTCGTCTTTCTGGTCCACGACCCCGAAAGACGTGTCACAGGCGAGGTTGCGTTATTCGAAACGATTAACTGGCTGACAGTGTTCGTAAAAAATAACCCTGAAAATATATTTTTAATGCCGCAGGGATTTATCACCGTGGATCTTGGCGGTTGTCGTTTGAAACTCGAGGTAGAGAAGGGGGGAGGAGATTTGGGAAAAGTAATTACGATTCGATGGGAGGGATGGTATTAGGTTTGTTTTCGTAATGGTATGTTACCATTTTGTTTTGTAGATTTTGGTCTGTGAGTTGGGAATGGATGGTGACAGAGGGAATTTTTGTTTCAGATATGCTGAAGTGTTTTCGAAAGCACCACCCGTTGGAATAAGGAACGCTACGCTGCTCTGCGAACTGCACAAAGGATTCCTCTATTCGCCAACATTTAACAACGATTTGTGAGTAGTTTTTCACCCCTAGCCATTTCTACCGTACATAGTTTCCTATTCTAAATAAGATTCTGAATATAAGCGTCGAGAAATGTCGACTTCTGGGACAACTGCATTATAAAGCGAAAGTGCGTGACCTCCTGGCACTGGTTTCTTCCATTCTTCGAATCCTTGGAGCGCGTGTGACGTGATGGATACCCGAAAATGTCACCAGCACGGTCCCGGGGCTATTGTGCAGCCAACCCTCTGACCATTATGCTAAACCATTGTCCACTATCTGCCTAAGATAGCCGACGGCTCGAGTCGTCCGCTTGTTCACCCTTGACTTTGTCGAGACCGTTAAAAAATCATTTTTGTCGACGATCTTCGACCTCCCTCCTCGTGACGTCTCTCGATGCTTGGATAGTGGATAGGTCGATCGAATTATATCGGAGGATTTAAGTAAAATGTTTCGAAAGAGGTTGCAAGTGACCCGCGATTATTTAGACCAGTGTTTGTTAAGCTTCATTTACAAAGAAAATTTGTTGGTGGATCTTTTAGAGTAGCATTTCACCCGATAGAAACATAATGTGCTGTGAAGTTCAACTTAGAGTAATCGTGCATTAATAAATTAATACGCACACGATGCCAAACTATTAGGATGACAGTTTCATTAGATTTCTTATTTACAAGTAATGAATATTTCTTATAATACTGCCCAATAAAAACAAAATTTATGATCCTACAGTTTTAAATAAAGAAGACGCACGTAAGCACTGTAATTCTTGTTCACGCTTCCTTTCGATTTTCAAATGCAACTGCACTGTTAATAGCGGTTTCATTTAAATATTACTTGGATTAATTAATCATGAGTGCATATCGACTCCTGCTAGTAGGAATTATATTCAATAAACGCGTACGATATGCCGTTCCGTTGGCTCGCGTTCTTTTTTTTTTCTCCCCCTCTCGACGGTGATTTCTCTGATTCCCTCCCTTTTTCTCTGGCGCTCCTCGATGCATCCACCATTATTCGGGCGTTAGGCAAATACACGAGGAGAGACGACAAGCTCGTCCGGCGCGGTTTTTGCCTCGTGAAAATTCAAATGAGACCGCGCGGCATATTGCGCTGAATCGAAATTAATGTCGCGCAACTAATTATCGGGCCGACAGTTATCCCGTATCAACTCGTCGCACGTTTCACGGCGTCGGAACGTGCCTCCATAAATTACTGTTTACGTCGCCGTCCGCAGTATAGCACCGCTAATTTTTATTATCCGCCGCGCGACAATTTCCAATTAAATCGTTTAACGAGCGGCGTTCCACTTTTTCGCGACGATTCCTCTCTTAGGTTTCCTCGTTTTGTTCCCGGACGAGCGTGGAATTTTAGAAACGTCGGCGACATTGATATTTCCGACATCGCGGAACTTTTTTTTTTAGCGGAAACTGGAGTTTCAACAGGTTTTGATTGTAGTTTTAAAGTTGAATAATTTGTCTTTCGGTGAGATTGAAGATCAGTTTTGTCAGTGGTTAGATATCGAGCGTTTCTAAGACACCTTGTATAGGAAGGTAGAAGTTCTCTTCGTCGAACGAAATATTACGACGCTGAGTATTTAGCGGGATTTTTCAAAGTGTTATTGATCATAGCGGCGCGAGATGCCTGAGCGTTGCGCGAGCTTCAGGAACCACGCCAGGATCAGGCGAACAATTGCAGGGCAAAAAGCTGGAGCCGCTGCGCGGCAAGAAATTTCTAATTTGCGGTATAATTAAGGGAGACGGGGCAAAAACCATCACGGATTCTACGCCGTTGCCGGAAAATCGTGAATTCCGCCTTGCGCGAATACGCCCCTGGCTTGATCGCGGACCGACTCCGTACGCGTTTCACCGTTACACATTGTTAAGTAAATAATTGATCGGGAAGGGTTTTAATACGAGTTTCAAAGTGTGAATAATTGTGTAGAAGGCATAAATAAACATATTTTAAGCAATTTACTGCGCACGACACTATCATAATTGCCAGAAGGCAACCATTGTTTCTATCACGTAATATTCTCAGCTATTATCATTGGTATATTCATTCGTACGTAGTATCCTTTTTAAGTTTTGCTTCGTATCGCACTTTTAAAAATTGGATTTATTACAATTTATCATAATTTAAACTTTACTAGATAATGTTCTCATATGTATCCAAAACTCTGTTGCAGATACACCATAGTAACTGCCGAGGAGTGGTCGAAGTTGATGCAGTTTTACGACGTCGATTATCCAGTCATCATCAAGAGGACTGGTTCCGATTTTTACACAGATCCAAGTGAGTACGAATATATAATATTCTTGTTACTTTTAAACATCGCTCTTTCTCTTCCTAAAAATGGACTCTCGTTTCAACAGCCTATCGAGGTTAATTTCTAATTTTTACTCGATTAGTAATTATACAAACAGGTTCAAATATAAAAATACACAAAAATATTTACATTTAGAAAACAAGACACTTTCGTTCAAGTATCGATTCTTTATCAATGCCCGTAAAAATATGAACGCTTATAAACATCCTCAGTCTAATCATTACCCATGATCGTCCCAGAAGACCAGTGACAGATATTGATGCGGTAGCGATTACCAATTAGGAGTGACGGAGGGATTACCCAGTCTCAACGTTTCGCGTCTCGTAAATCTACGAACGAGGGAAAAAAAAGTGACGGTATAACGAATCGTGGACGTGAATTGAAACGATTATAACGTGACGGTTATCGTTGCACATGTGCGACGATAGGCGTATCAATTTCCTGGTAAAGTGCAGAACCCGAAGACCGATCGCGCAATTAACGGCTTTCTCTTTATTCCATCCTGGGACCGTTCGATCTTATCGGCAATTAATTTTCGTAGGATTCCGGGAGGGTCGTTATGTAAACGATCGTCCCTAGGCGGATCGTTACCAGCGCTCTTCCCTATCGTGTCCCCTTCTTTTTCTCTCTGTGTACGTGGCTCGGTCTAATTATTGGTACACAATCTCGCGGACACTCGGGGCGCGTCAGTGACTTTTCGCTTTTGGCTTCTACTGGGAAAACCACTCGATGTATCTAGAATATATTTGTGGCTTAATCGGATGCCGACAGTGGATACTTCTCTCGTTGTCGGGGCAGATTAAACGGTTACCGAATTCTGTATGCATAGGTGTGTGCGTGTGTATGTTGGTTTCTGTGTTGTCACAAATTGTTCTAGGCACAAATTCTAAATGCCAAATTCGTTTTTCAATCCGCAGATAATGTTACCAACGGAGAAGTTGTCTCTTAACAGTGAATCACCGGAGCACACGCGCTGTGAAATTTTTTGCGAGAAAGTGTGCGTGAAAGCGCGCATCCTTTCCACTTTCCTGTCCTCCCCCTCTCGGAATATAACCCAAGGAATAATGCCAGAAGACATTAGCCGTCGATTTACATAAATCCCCTACCCACGTTTGTTCGCGTTGGCTTCTCTGGCAGACCCCAAAGTGTCTCATTATAATTAAGAAGTATCCTGAAAATTAACCGACAGAAAAAGTGCCACTGCGGGGGGCCGGTAGAGGTGGTGCCGTTCCAAATGGGGTTCTAAAAGTTTCTCACCCGCTGCCGTCGCAATTCGTTCCTCGGTTCGTGCTGTGGGGATTGTTTTGACCGAATATCTTCGGAGTTTTAACGTCTCGGAAGGGACGTTTAATACCGGTGCGTACATATAAGTGTTCGTTCCTAAACAAAAGTCTGAAACAGTGTATTTACCATACAATTACGTAACATTAAAAACAAACACCTGACGTTACTATATCGATGTTAACTACTCGTCAACGTGCTTTAAATATATCGGTTCTATTCTACATCAACAGTGACCATAGAAACCAAAGAAACAAATAATCATCTTATCCAAAGGTACAAGATCGAAGGAAACTGATAAGGAAGAGCGCATTTTAAAGCAAGTGGAGACGGTACGATTAAATTCCCGTTCCCGACAAATACAATGCCTCCCTTCAACTTCGAACCCCGAAAAGTCCCATCAGATTTACGCGGTCCGTGGCCGAGCCACGCGCAAGCCCACTTTGTCGAACGACTGATCCTTGTCGTCGGTCTGGCAGGCAAATTGGCTCCCGAAGGTAGCACCAGGGGGATCCTGCGGATCGATGTTCACGTCCTTCGTCGCGCACGAACGAGCCCACGGCGTGTCCCGCGTTCAAGAAGAGCCGAGAGGCCTCTAAACATCCCATTGTCTTGTCCGTCTCTCGATCGCGGATGGCGCGGGCTTTTTTTCCCGCGACATTTGTCAAGGCTCTGCCTCGGAAAGGGGGATCGTCCCGCGGTTGATTTGCATTGCAAAGCCGGTCCCCGAACCGGCCCGCCGTCTCTCCACCGGCTGGACCGCGGATCGCCCAGATGGAGATGTCGTTTAGGGTTAAAACCGTGATATCTTCTCCGCGACGAGTGCTCGCGGACTCGTGCCGCTTGATCTACATGCCACGATCGATCCCTTGATGCTGGCTCTTGTTTCTCCAGACGAAACGTATGCTTCGAGCTTGTCACAAAACAGAAGAGTAGAGTGAAGCTCGACGAATGGATATCTGGTGCTTTGATTCGTTTGTGTCGAAATGTTGAAAGCGTTGGAGGTATTTGTAGGATAAATTGTGATCCTAGGTGGATCAGGAAACCTAAAATCTCCATCTTCCAAAGATATAAGAGAAATATATATATATATATCTGCGATTTTGTATCATCTTGGGAGCATTTGGAATTAGCGTTGCTCGTTAGTCCAAACGATCGTCTTTCGGCTGTCAACCATTAACCGGGTGCAGTCGCACGAGGAACATTTCCTTCCCCGGTTTTCCAGGAGCGTCGTCATCGTGGCGGTTGGTCCTGGCGAAGCCCGGAGGGTGGTATTCAATCGCGTCACCTCCGGTTCTGTCAACCGAGGCCGACGAAGGAGCCGAGCGATCAGGGTTGTCGAGTGATTGATACGAGGTTGGACGGTGCCTAATGTGCCTTCGCATACGAGCGAGAAAGAAACGTCCAAAGGCCACGAAGGTGTAAGGGAGAAGGGACCACCCCTTCGAGGCTTTAAGAGTGGAACGATCGTCCGGCTGAGGCTCGTTAGTCAGGGCCGTATCAGTCACCGAAAGCAACCCCCGATTTTTTGTTCCAACCGGGGCCAAGTGCTCGTTTCCCCTGGTTCACTTTTGTTCGGACCAGACGCGCCGGTGTGCGCGCGCCCTTAAAACGAGCCAAATTGTCTGTTTGCTCTGGACCACCCAGGGCCTCTGTCTTTCCACGTCCTTTTGTACGTCGAGGATTTGTGAGGGGATCTTGACGCGTGAATTACGCTCGTAATTTTACGTCCATAGGTGTCGTTGACGTAATTCGATGTCAGGTTATACGTCTAGGGAGGTAGCTTGGTCATTTCGACTCCTATTTGGAAATGTGATAGGTATCTAGCGAGACTCGACAGAATTATACCGAAACCAGAAAATCTGGACTGCAAACGGTTAGTAGAAGAAATATGGCCAGAATATTATCGGTCTAAATGGTACGGCAACGGGTTAGTCTACGCGTCCTTGCCAGAAACCAGGAATCCGCTAGAAGAAACTGGTCGCAAAACGAAGCTCCTCGGATGCAGCGGAGAGTCAGTCTCCAGATTGGTCTTGCGTGCACCCCCCCCGCGAAAACGCAAGCGAGTCGAAAAGTCATTTTCGGGGAGGATCCAACGATCCGAGGGAACAAGTCGTAAAGTTGTGTTCATTGGTCGGTGAATGCATATATTAAGACGTGTCCGGCGCACTTGTCGCAGCCGGGGGAAGGGCTAACAAATGTCCCTCCTGAAGCGTTTGACCCCTGGTAAGTTCAACCACCCCCCGGGAGACTAAATCTCGAGTCGAAAGGCGGGTCTGGCCCCTCGAGGCTCGACGTTTATGGAACCCGGTGCAACGGAGCCGACCGCCGCAGCCACCGTAGGAAACTAATCAGCAAATTCGTGTTCTAAATCTAAATCGCCGTCCGAATATTAATTCGAGACCGCTCTGTCTCCGTTCCACGGACGTTCGCGGCGGTCCTGGGCCCTCCCTCCGCCAGTTTCTCTAGGTTTTGCGATACAGCCAGTGCTGTAGCTAGGCTGATTTGTGGCACCGGCTGGCGCCTAAGCGATATTTACGACTGCCGTTCACGGAATCGAAACACCGTGGAGCGTCGCTTTTAATCGCGACGGAAAGTCTGCGCTTCACGGAAACCGATTTCGAGTGCCGAGATAAAAACGGGACATGGATAAAGAAAAAGATTGCCACTGTTGATTGTCTCTGACGGGTTAGATGAGTTTTGATTTTTGATGATTAAGTGGAGAATGTTATGGAATGTATAGTTGATGGAATTTCAACTGTTTCACGTGGAGTCAAGCAAGCCAATCAATTTGATTCGTGTACATATTTCTTCTTACGCACACACGACGCTATTAGTCACAGACAATTAAAAGGATTCATCAGCTCGCGGGGCAGAAAGTAGCGCCGTAAATTAAAGTGGAAGCGACCGGAGGAAAGTCGAGCAGGTCAAGTTTCGAAGGGTCGAATTAGCGACATCCCGCCGGTTTCTGTCTCTCCCCCTTCTCCTCGTCTTGGTCCTTCCTCTTATCCTGCAGGATATCCCCACTTGTCTCCGCGCCACGGGGGGTTCTTTTCCAGCAGGATTAAATGGAGCGCCTAGATGACCGATGCTCGTCCTTCGGACCTGGCTCTCGCGGAGGGCTGGTTGGAAAACAAGATAAAACGAGGATAAAGCTCGCTTAGAACCTTTCTCCCTTTACTACTGACAATGCCGTGGGGTGTGTACCGCGACACTGACAGCAAGGAGCCTTCGTTAATCCAGAAGCCTAATCGTCCAGATCGCTGGACTCGAGTTGTCGTTCCAGTTTGGCTTTTTCACTCCTCCCCTGGGGAAACGCTGTCAGGGAACATTTAGGGGTGGACAGGTTTTTTTAGAGGGAAATTTAGGTTTCACAGGTGGCCGAGCAAAATTTCATACTCTTTCTTATTAGTTTGCTAACGATATCTTATTGCAGTAATCGAAGGTTGATTATTTTATTTTATTTGAATATTTCATTCCACTTTAGAAAAGTTACAATGAAGCCAAAAATAAAGTTAAGCCCCAACCAAAATTAAATGAACCAGAAATTATAACTACAACCATCTATAAATTTTGAAGGGAATGCTCCATAAAACTGCTTCGAAGTCGTTCGTATTATAAACAATTGTCAGGGGTGCAAGGGGTTAAATCGGGTGGAGCGAAAACCGCGGCTTTAGTTTAATTAACTCGTCGATCGAGGATCCATTAGCGACGAAAGGGAGGTCCTTTCGATTTTCTCGAAACGCACCGGACCCGCTTGCGGATCCGGAAAGCCGCGTGTAATGCCCGCTTTTAAGCCCCGATTACACGCGCAGCTAGCAGCTCTCGCGGTAAGAGGATTATATTTTGACTTTGTTGTGGCGCTCGAAGACGTTCGTTAGCGAAATCATTGTTACGGCGACGATCTTCTCCTTCTTCGGCAGGCATCGTTAGAGTTGCCCAAAACGAGAAACCGCGCTCCTTGGGATTCCCTAAATTCCTTCTCTGTTCGTTGCCGGAGATTGTTACGGCTTGTTTCCGCTTTTTGGCTCGCGATGCGCATCCATTTTTTACTCCGTTTGAAGCTTTAGATTTACAAGTATTGTGAAACGGGTTTGGTAATTCCTCTAATATTGTTTTTTTTTTTTTTCTTTTGATTGGGAATTTTGACGAGGTAGTATAGTTTGAGAGGGATTGGATGTTGGTAAAGAAATACAGGGAAAATTCCCAGAAATATAATTTGAAGTATCAAGGATGCCAAGAGCACTTTGGTTCACATATTTCTTATATGAGTAAATATTCTATCGATAAATAAAATTCACCAGCCTTATAAATGAATAAATTATACGACCCGGCATCGTGCCGTCGATGAAGATTAAATCGTCTACTTCATAGAACAAGAAAAGAAGGAATCATTATTTACTTTCCACCCGCGATTCGAGCGCGGAAGAACTCGAGGCCTATTCGAGGGTGGCTGACTGTTCATAGTCGAGGGGTTGGGAAACATCAATCTTTCATTCAGGAGACGATTTCGAAGTTATGAATGAAAGCTGCTCGGACCTTTTAATATAATGTCGCGCTGCTTGTCCTCTCGCTTAACGCGGTTTCGATTTTGATCGAAGACCCACGGCATTTCGTTGGTGTGGGTGAACTTCTTGATTCTTGGAAACAGCCCATGAGATGTCTTTGACATGGCCGTCACGAAGTAAACTTAACTTTTTATTAGTAGCAGAAGTTCAAGATTCGGTATTTATTTTAGCCGTGTGGAGCTCATATGCGATTCAATAATATATCTAATAATTAATTAGCTGAGTACATCATCATAACATTGGAAGATTATTTTTTAAATGAAACTTTGTTCGATCCAAAAGGCTTGTTCCATTTTACAAAAGATAGATTAATATTTTTGCAAGTCCGAAGTTAAGGCCGCTCTTATCGCGTCGCCGAAATTACACGGGAAGTCGCGTCGTGGAAACTCTCGAGGAAAAGTTCGATTCGGTGTCCCACAAGGGATTTCGGTGGCGGGCCGTTTCCATGCGTGCGATAAAATCCAAAGGAATAGGCGAGCGTCGCGCGTCGAGGAAACTTCTCCGCTCCGATTCCGTCCAAGTTTTTGCCCCCTTTCGACGCCCGTTTATGGTTTGACTGCCCTCGGATGGCACTTTAGGGAAATACACGAGAAAATCCGCGCCACTGTTCGGCTCTATTGAGAACCAGTAGAGCCTATTGTGTATTATTAGCCAATAAAACCCGCTTGTTGTTTGCTCGAGACACGCACGAGTGCCTCCTTCGATTCCTTCTCGACTTTCGAACAGTCTCGTCTTCGCCACGGAGCGTTTCCTGCGCTTTCGAACTTGTCGAGACCGAGAATCGCGATAAATAAACAGATTTAGCGATGAATGAAAGGATAAAAGAATGCTTTAAAATATTTGTAACGAATACCATTGGTCCATTTACTTGTTCATTTATTTAAGGAAACGTAATCGATCGGTTCGAACAGGGTTGATTTATAGCGTCACGGTGATAGGGTTAGAAAGACTTCGAAAAGGGGCTCCAGGCTGATTCTCAGTCATCCCTACGCATCCCTGATTAGCTTAGGTTCCTCGTATTTCCGATTAAACTCGATAGCAAACGATCCTATCGTGCGTCCCCGTGCAGCTCTGTAATTGGGGCTCCAAGGGTGGACATTTGAATTCATTTCGTGTACCAACTCCGTCGACCCGTACCTTCGTGCTTCACGGAAGCTAAAATCTAATCATTTTGTTTCTTGTTATTCCTCCAATCGTCTTCTTCAGCGGTTCCGTTCGACGAAATCGCCAAGATTAGATTGTGCGATTTCGGTTAGCGAAAAGATGCCGAGTCAGGGATGAAATTAAGATCGTAAATTGCGGGAGAACTTCCTCGACTCGTTGCTGGTTCTCTACTTTACTGGTCGGAATTTGATTTCTATCTCTTTGTCTTCAAACTAGAGCACTGTGCTCGATCAAAACGAGTTGCACCAAGCTTGAAACGGGTCGGTCGAACGTCAGGTCGTCGAGAGGCACTTCTTGCAGGAGTGCTCGTTGAACAGCGCGATACCGCGACGGTACGTCGGTAATTAGGGCTCCCCCTGGCAAGGGTGGTGGACATTCGAATTCATTCAGGGTCGTGGCGCTCCTCCCGGGGTTAGCCGACAGCCCCTTTAGCGGAAAACTGTCTGAACATGACGTAACGCTCCTGAAAGCCGCTCGGATAGGAGCGGTTTCGGGCTTGGTTTTTGCGCTGTCCGGTCAGCAACAATGGCCGCTTCTTACTGGCGTTCTGGTCACCGTATATTATTAATTACTGTATTAATCTCGCCGGCCGTAAGCAATCTATTATACATGGGATAAGAGCTCGCCGAGCTAGCCGGCGTCGTCGTCGTCAAAATGCCCGCCCACGGTCCTGCTACCCCATTGGGTGACTTTGTAACTTCGACGTTCGATGTAATCTGACCCCTGCGGGTGTTAACGAAGGGTGGTTTCGGAAAGGGTGTTAAAGGAATCTTGAAATTGCCGCTGCCTGGGCGTACTAGAGTACTACGTCTCTGTAGGAGCATCCAAAGCTGGATGAATGGTAGACAAAATTATGGAATGAAAAATATATCTGCGATAAATGCATCGTGTCGATATTACACTCTTTAATCCCATTCGTCGAAGCCTGCATCTCGCGCAAAGTATAGTAGATCCATACCAAAGCCGGGTTAATTTTCTTTTTTTAATGTTTCATTAATTTTTTTTACAGGTCTTTGCGCGGCGTGCATGTTGGCGCGAGTGGAGCAAGAACGTCTGGAGAGTTTGAAGTACGATAGGGCGACGATTTACGTAAAGTGCGTGGAGGAGAACGAGGACCCGAAGACGGACAACCAATTGGAGGTCAGTGAGAAGAAAAGAGTAAAAGTATGTATATAGAATCCGCCATACCGAGATCGAATCGACGCGAAATTACACACGACGTCCGAGGGCAGACGACAAGGGATTTTTGTTAATGGGCCAGCGTGCCGAGTCACCCGACTGTCCTGGAACCGGTCGACCGATTCAGATTGATGTCGGCCGATAAGGAGATCGGCCCCATCTCATTCATTTCACGATAATAATCGTCATTACGTTTCCATGGGTCGATCCTTGGGGCCACCTGCTTCCCTCTCCTCGTCCACGCATTAGTTTCTTCGCTTTCATTCGTCTCCGGTTCGCAGCGGTGTGAAGGTGTTACGAATTAAGGAAGGGTCTGGTATGGCTACTTATGGCATGGACGAGAATTGTTTATTTTCTTGTAAACGTTGCTCTTCAATGCGGGGAGTTACGCGGCGTACTCTAGAAGTAGACTAGATATTTATTTGTAGAAATGAGGAGAGTAAGAAAAATATTGTTTAGGAAGATAAGAAAGAGTTATGTATAGACTTGGTAACATTAGATAAAGTAAGTTAGAAACGAAGATTGAGCCATGTCATAGGTCGGTTTGAGCTTTTGTTTATACAAAAAAAAAAAAAATAATTGAAAAAGTATGTTCGCATTTAGAGAAGAACAAATAAAAATCTTGTGTTTTCCACCGCAGGTGGCTGCAAAGAAACCCAAGATAGAAAATACTAGGCCGTCGAGAACTCGGAGGAACCTGAAGGGATCCCACGAACTCAAAGTTTCTTCGGAGATCACCCTCAAGGAGCTCAAATTAATGGTGAGTTGAAGTCCCTATCATTCGTCTAAACGAATCTCGATTATTTTATTTCAAACGAAATATTTTTATATTTGTGAAAATTCTCATAAATTTCCTCATACTTTTACTATAAATGCATGAAACATCTGCAGTTTCGTTCTTCATTTATCAATATGAATCACGCAATGAACACTTTTCCGAGGACCGATCGTGGGCCAGTGTTCCCACCGTAGTGTAAACAACTCTTCCCAGGTGAGCCAGTATCCTCCACAGTATTAAATTACCAAAGGGTTAAACCGTGTTCCCCAATCGATCGTAGTTGCTGACAATGACAGTGATCACGCGGCAATTGAAAGAGATTACGGCAGCCAGCCAGAGAGGAACCGTTTTACGAGGGTCGACCGTTTCGGACGCGGAGAGAGAGAGAGAGAGAAAGAGAGAAAAATCCTCCGAAAGTCAGACACTCTGCTAGCAGGTTCGCCGAGTTCGTTCGGTGGACCGAAAGTAGTAAAGCCGTAGTTATGGCTGGTTAGCATATGCTCGGGCCCCGGCAGTGTGCTTAAACTATTAAGCGTATTTATATTGCGAGGCTGCGGCCATCTCCTTCTCCCTTCTTCTTCGGGGCCACTGGCAAAAACACGAAAGAGCATAAACCTCGCGCTAATAACAGGCCTCCAACTTCTCCACTCCACTTCACTCCACTTCCTTCGACTCTGGACCTTCTATACCGATGGCCATTCAATTCTTTCTCTCTTTCTCCTCTTCTGCTCCGCGTTTTCGCGTTGTTTATTCGCGCGGAGGTGTTCGAAAGCTGAAATTCCCACAAAATTCACAACTATGCATATCTTTCATGAAAAACACCGAAAGATGTTTGTATAGTGGAAATGGGAGTTTAAATGGAAGATTAGACGTCGACTCCGATTGGAAAGTATCGGTTGACCGAAGGGTGCCGGTTGTTCGCGGATCGGGTAAGCGTTTGACAAAAATGAGAGCTCGCCGGTTTTTATCCGATCGCAAAAATGTTCGAGTTTCATGGTCGAATGCGCGACAAGTCGCGAGCAAGCAAGCAAATCGGAACAATAGTCGGCGCGCTTCGCTCGACGATCGTTTTACGTAATCGTTGGTAACGCCGATTGCCGCCTGTAAATATTACTTTCTACCACATTCCGTGTCACCGATCCGAAGTGCTTTTTTCCGCCCTCCGTTCGGGCTCTCTAGCCAGCCAGGCGATTTCTTTTCCTGTCCCTCGATGATCGCTGACGCTCGAACGGTGAAAAAGTTTGTTAGACAGCTCTTTTGTCTTTGGGACTTCTTCCTTCGTTGTAACAAAATCCCCGCTGAGAGACATTTTGGAAAATAAAATCGAAGGAGTTAAATAGTTCAAAGGAAAATAAATTAATATTTATAAAGGAGAAAGTATTTGATCAAATGTATGCAGTCTGAGGATAATTTGTCGCAACTTTACAATTACTTTCTAAAAATTCGACGTTAACGTCCGCGAGTACGTCGGAAAAGATAAAATTCTTCGACCCCGGAGCAATTGTTCGGCCTTTTCTTCGCAACCTTGTTACAACTCGCCTCTATTTATCGCTCTGGTCGAGGACCTTCCGTGCCCGAGCAAGAGACTTTAACGAGGAAGCATCGGTTTCTTGTTCCGACCGATCATTTCTCTCGTTGCCTTTTGTTATACTCTTTCTCTGGGTAAACGTTGGTATTATCCCATAAGTCTCGTCACGTCAAAGTCTCCAAATTTGTCAAATATGATATAAAGTTACTCTCTTGGAAGTGAATTTGATAAACTGGGGATTTTCAAAATTTGAAGGCTCTAGATACTTTGACGCCAGCCCTGAGAACCGGATGCAGCGCCTTCTCATGGAAATAGTCACGCTGGAACGAATTTCTGGAATTCGGTTTAAAATCAATTTCACGGAAGACGCTCTTGCCTCGTCATCATAGTTAATCAGCCCAAATTGGTTCCAAATTTCAACAAAAACTCCGTTGCATTCGGATCTACGGGACTCTATTTAACGTTGATAGAGTTTCTGTTCAAACTAGAGTCACAAATGATTGAATGTTAAGGACACGTAATTACACTTAATAATTTTCGCGTACACTTATGATCTATTAGAAGAATGACAATATATATGGTGTAGACACATTGTAGTGTCCATCATAGGCTCGCAGCATGTACTATTTTATCCCCCTTGGTCCACTGGCGAACGGAATGCAGTGCCACTTATTATAACTTCGATATTACCTACCGAAATGCACCTTACGTCCAAACTTGGAGTTAGACGCGCGAACGAATGAGACGCGAGCTAGGTTCGCGGAAGGGGTGCAGGAAAAACAGAGTCGAAATGATCCCTTTGCCGACAGTTTAACTCGGTTTGCGTCGGGCACGGTATAACCAGGGTGTTCCCGTGTGTGCGCGTCCTCTCCAAGTCCGTGGCTCTTTTTTCCCGACGGTTGCTCGCTCGTAAAACAGAAACTTGCGCGTTTACACCGGCAACGGGGAAGCTGGTCTCCTCCACGAGGAACCGGACGAAGGGCGAACGCGAAACCATTCTCGAGGCGGCTTCCACAAATTAAGCAATTACCCGGACGTATGCTCCTCGATTCCGACTTCGAGACTTGGGGCCCTTTCCTTCGCTTTCGTCTCGTCTCTCTTGTTCGCCGTGACCGCGCTTTGGAGTTCAATGCCTGGGGAAGGAAGAACGCCGGAGTTCCGGAATTTTATACGTTCACGGAATTTGTAGCTCTCGGTGTTGTAGGTTGGAACTTTTCGCCAGTGGTTTGCACGGGACGACTTGTAATTTTAATACTCTTGAAGGATGTTCGTTCCGGTAGGAACAAAGCATTATTGTAAAGGGTAAACTTACAGAAGCTCGAATTTCTCAAATCATCCTTTCGTTTAAATCTCCATTGATTACCTCAATTCGTAAAAGTATGAATTTGCATAAAAATCCTCGGTCTAAATATAATAAATTGAATACATATTTTGTAAACAATGTCGACTTCTAGATAATACTAATCTACTAAACTGTTCGTATGATGTATTTTTTTAGACGATGCAGATATGCGGCGCAGGACCATACGATCAACACCTGATGCTAGGCGAACATGAGCTTACCGATCATAGTCAGAGTCTAGCGGCGCTTGGGATATTCCCCGGGGCACTTCTCACCTTGAAGGTAAACCTGACATCATTTTTTACCGTTTACTTATCTTGGGCACAGCATGTCTCATGAATGAAATCACGGAAGCGTTGGGTAAACCTAGCTAAATCTACTCTAGAGTCACGAGAGTAGTGTTAATCAGTTCTCCGTGGCTAATTGAGCCAGTCCTTTTATGAACACCTTATAAACAAAAAAAAAAAGAAAACATGAATTTATTTTGCACGAATTGTTCTGTGAGTTAATTAATCCACTACTAAGTTGTATACTGTTACATTCAATTGTAAAAATGTAACGCTTTTGAATCGAATGTCTCCTGAAACCACATTCTTTTAAATGAGTGCAAGCCTATCCCTTAAAGGGTACTGTTTGTGCTACCACCTCAACGCTCGACAAAGATCTACCGAAATGAAAGAATCTGGCTCGCAAAGGCCTAAGCGCGATCCTCGAAGGTCCCATTAGGCGTTCACTTCACACAGTAGCATTCGCGCGTAGCATCCCAAGACACACCTACGAGGTGGTTCTCGATCGAAACTCTTATTTCTCCCCCTAAGGACTGGATTCTACGCAGTCCTCGGCAATTAGAATTCGCGGCTGCAACGAAACCAGTCCAGAGGAAGAAGAGGCTCGAACGGTCGCCTCTCTCGTTTCGTCTCGCGTTTAACGGTTTCGGCTGTCCGCTAGCTGTTCGCGGCTAGGCTGCTTTCATAAAATCAGTGGACTGTGAACGGAGGAATGCGCAGGAATGCTGGAATTATTCCGGCGGTCTCGCGTCTCCGAATGGGAGGGCAGAATTTTTCTTTCGGCTGCGAAACGGAGTCGGACGCCGCTCGAGCAGCGGCGACAGCTTCTGACCTGGCAAAAACCGGCCACGTCCGCTGAATTTTTGGCCGAATCTTCGATCCTCGCGGACCGCGCGAACTGGCCAGATATGCGACGGCCGGAATCACGAATGGCGATCGCATATGGCGTCCTCCGCCTCCCTACCCCACCTCACGGGGTGGTTGCTTTTCTCTAACAGAGGAACGCGCGGCGTCGTCGACGAATTCGTGCCATGCAAGCTGATCAATCGATCGCGCCGGGGATCGATTCCGAACTGGTACTTTGGTCCCAGTGCGTTGCTCGGCTTGGACTCGGATTTATTTGAATTTTTTACCACGGACTATGGGAGCCCTGAGAACCAGCTGCGCGTAGCTATACCTGCAATAAGGAGAATAAATTGGATTAGGGTTGGGGAATAAGTTACTCATTCGAGTTCTTGTCTTCTGGCGTGGGGTGTAGTTTGAATGTGGTTTACGTGTGGGGTCGCGACAAGGTGGGGAGGGTTGGTGTCTGTGGCCGCCATGTTTTTGGACGCAATCAGGCACCTTTAAAGGTACTAGGAGTAAATGACAAATAACCATAATTGTCGACAGATCGTTCGGGTTAAAAATTGTTGAAAATTGTTAGGGCTTTCGTTGGGGATTCTACAAATTCCAAGAGATTTCGGAGCATCGAAGGGATTGTTAAAGGGTGGCAATTCGTTAGATAAAGAAGATTTTTCGAGGCTGAATCTCAGCGTAGAGAGCTAATCTTCCTGTAGTAAGAGGCCAATTAACACTTCTAATCTCGAGAGGCGACGTTTTCGGCTAATCCCAAGACGAAATCGGCGGTCTTGCCGTTATCTTGGACCATTGCCGACGTTACTTATCCATTGTCTCGGGCTTAAGGGAAACGGTAGCTAGATCTTAAATCTAAATTGCATCTGTTTGTCACTGTCCGCTGCCCTCGCCCAACAAACGTATCGTTCTGACAACAATTAACACGATACCTGCGACTATCAAGGAACACCCTAAATTCGACCAAAACGAAACAGTCTTTCTCAGAATTAAGAAAATTTAATGGATACGTCGAAAACAGTGTTTGGCTGATCAATTCCAATTTTGATAAAAATTTTTATATTCTTGTTGCTTAGGATCATTAAAATATTCCTATCAAATTTAACGGGATATCTCCAAATTAAGCAAGACAGTTGAATAATCTGTACATACACGTATCGATGGATGTCCCAAATTTCAAAACTTTACGTCAAGTACTTGAGCTGGAAAAAAATCTTGAAAATTGCCTCGAAACTGTTGAAAATAAAAAAGTATACTCCTTTTTTTGGACCCCCATAGGCGTTCATAGGACGAATGGAAGACATACTGGTATCCACGGTACCCAAAGGGTTAGGAAAAAGTGGTGTCCACGTTGAAAAAGCTGAAATCGATCGTTTGTCCGTGGCGAATGTGGCTGACTAAGCCAGGAGTTATGCTCACGGTTCTGCACATTTACGTAGCGCTATTTATTGGACTAGTCCAGCACACTTCCCCTCCTGTGTGTTCCTTCCAGATGCAGTGGAACTTGCTTCGATCGTATCTTTGCCGGATTTTTCAAGTAATCACCGGTGTAGCGATCCGTTTCAACAGCGATAATTGATTTCCAACTACCGACCCAACGAAACACGCGCAAAAATTCGTGACGAATTAGCGACGCTTGCTCCGGATGAAAAAGTAACAAATCTATCGCTTCCATTTCCACCGTTACTGAATCCGACCCGATTGCCACTCGAATGTAAAAACAAATTGTAATAATTAGAAGTCGTCGACTCTGTAAGAGGATGGAAAAGGTCGCAGACGAGCGTCTTGAGGATTGAGCGTTTCGTTACATTCCGTAAATACTTGCAATTTTGATAGTTATCGCGAGCCGAAATGAATTCTGAGCTTTTAGATTCATTTGCATAACTTTAGTTTGAATGGAATTTCTTACCAGCCAAATACCAACATTCACAGTAATGAAACATGTTTGAAACAAAAGACATAATACCTGTCTTTAGCCTCGTTTCATACACAATCTTCAATTTAGAACATTTTCTCTCCCTACCTCTTATTGTTAGATCCATTAAATCTCATCCTATTCATTCCTGCGTTCGTAAAGTGATAATTGCTGAAAACTGAAAGCAGGAAGCGTTCGATCGCGTTTCGTGAGTTTTCTTGCGCGCCGAAACGCGTTCACGGGTTCACCCTTCCATAGCCTTGGGTACAATTCTGAGGGTCTTGCTCGGATGTTTCAGCGCGTGGAATGCGATGCCAAGAATAACAGAGAGAGAACGACTATGCCGTGTCTTATTGGAGTCTGTATTGGAACCGTTACGGGGAGACAGTTGCCGCTAATTGCGTCAAAATTTCACGGATAAAAGAAATCGATGCCAAAAAGTAACGAAGACTGACTCGAGCCAGTTAGTTTGACTCAACTATTTTTATTTTACTTAATTTTACTAACCTACTTTCTTTTCTTTTTTTTGATTTTTTTTTTATGCTGAAAGTCTTAAAGTTTCATCAGAGAAGAAAGTGCAATTGCAACTCTCCAGAAACGTCACATGAAGACACATGTAGATGTCATCCAAGTTTCATTATTTACCTCCACACTTAGAAAATCGCACCTTCCTTCATGCAACAAAGTCACATCGATTAAACCGCACCGCAGATCACCGTGACGAGATAGATCTCGGCTCAGAATTTAAAAACACCAAGTTCGCCGTTGCTCTTGCGCGCATTCCCGAAACATTTTGCCTCCACCGTTTTCTCCGGGCCGCTTTCATAGCGCCTAAACGAAAAACACTTGTCTTCCGGTGACTGAGGACTAAATTGAACCCGTGAAAATAAGTAATACGCGAACTTCTTTCGCGCTGAAACGCCTGGTGCAGCGATCTGAACGCTCCGCTGGCTTTGCGGTCTCTTTTGGCAGGCTTCTTTTCATCGTCGCTCGTTGACTATCGAGAATTTTCGACTCGTGTCCCCTCGCTCTGGTATGCAAGACGAACGAATTTCGCGGCGTGATACGTTTTTGCTCCGTCTGCACACTTCGGGGAGCGGAGTGCTCTCTAATCTCACGACAAAGTTGCGATCGAGCGATCCACCGTGCAGCGTCGCGAGGAATTTAGGTTAATTTGCACCTGCAATGATCGATTGGTCGCTTGGTCGCGTGCTTTCTTACTTGGCTGGTCCCTCGAAGAGAACTTCACTTTTTACAAAGATATTTGGGAGGTGGAGCACATATTAGATGTTCCTAATAAGTAGCGAATGTATATCTATTGCTTCGACTAGGCTCATTGCATATTTTGAATCTATGCTTTTTCCATCAGTGTTGTGTAATGTTTTTAAAAAAATTGCTTCATTTGGAGACACACAAATAATACTAGGTTTGCCAAAAAGCTCGGATTTTAACGTACAAATAAACGGCAATTTTTCTTATACAAAGTCCAGAATACTCCCTAAAGAAAATTTATTTAATTTTCCCCATGTCCTGAGGTCTCAGTGCACCAGGACATTGAACACGAAAAATTTCCCATTGGAATTCGGGGCATCGAGTCGCCGCGGTGAAATTCACGGAAAAAATCGCGCAACCTCGGCATTTCTTTCGTCGCCATTCACCTTGCCAGTTTCTTCTACCTTCCCCGCTAACGGATTAATTGCCAAGTGCAATTTGTTCGCGAGGGACAACAGTATAATCAGCGCTTAACTAAATTTCATACGATTATGCTCGGAGCGTGGTTTACGACGAGAAGATTTCGCGAAGCAGTCCAACAACGCGGCGGGAGCTTCTTGCCACGGGATTGGCCCGCGGTTATCCGCGTAACTGCGAACAATTATCCCTCGGTTACAGAATTTTTCCAGTCGCGTTACGGCCGCGATAGCGTGCAGCGGCCGTTAAAAGCAGCTAGACGTTCCTTAAAAGGATTTATCACTATCGTTACATCGACCACGAGGACCGATAGTCGTTGCTCGAACTCGACACTGCCACTGGAGTAATTACAGTCATCCCAGTCGCGGGAAATTTGCGAACCTTTTTGCCACCGTTCCGCGGATTCGACTGCTCGCCATTTTTTTTCCCTGCTCGGATTTAGGGAGCAAGAAATCGTTAATTCGAACCCGCGTCGATGTTGGAAAATGTGTGGTCTTTTTACTGGGCAAAGCTGATTCGATGGATTCGATGGAAAT